CCGCACCCAAGCCCACCCCACTGAGCAAGATGTTGGCACCCTGAGACCGGACTCGAAAACGTGTATAAAATAAGCTGCAGCTTCCAGCTGGAAATGAAGATTTCCAGCCGCATTTTTGGCTAAATTGTACAACAGCAGCTGGAAATCCTGGTTACAGCTGAAAATGAATGCTGCTCATGCTGAAAATCAGAAATTCTAGCTTGGCAGTACATGATCCACCTGGAAGTTTCCAAGCTAAATCAGGAAAAATCTAATTTCCAGCAAGAAATTTGTCCATTCCTGGGTGGAAACAGCCTGGAATTCGGCTGGTAATATAGATTTCGAGCTCCAGCTGTAGTCGATTTCCGGTTCCATAACACAGCTTGGACTGGAAGCATTTCTACGTAGGATATACATTGCACTGCGCCATGATTTACCAGTATCGAGTTGAACTTCGCGAAAACAAAAGTTTGCAGCCCATCTACCCCCTGAGCACAAGGCGTCTTGTAGCCGGCTTGAAACGGCTCGACTAAGCTAGAGACGTCTTGGGCTACGCAAGACGTCTATGAGACATCTTTGCAAGACATCTTAAGATATCTTGACGTAGACGTCTAGAAAACATCTCAAAGAGACAACTGATGTCTTGGGCGTCTTGCAGCTGTCTCTAAGATGTCTAGGAGACGCCTTGCAAGACGTCCTTTAGCGCAAAAAAGAGGGAGTGGTATGAAGTCTACAGGGCGGCTACAGGATGACTCAAGACGTTTTGGACTATCACGTCTTGCCAAGACATATACAAGACCTCTTGCTCTTCTTGCCAAGACGTTCTTAGATGTCTAATAGACGACTTCGTGTTCAGTGGGTACAGCAGAGACATCAGATGCCATATTGGCTTCCTGCTGTCTAAACATCTTTGCTATGCAACGAATCAAATTTTGATTGCAAATAAGCTCTTTTTTGTCTATGAAAGACGACACAACAGATCACTGCCAGTTCTCTGTTTTAAAGCATAAATGGGACTGAGGCTGAAATATGCGACTGAGGCAGTTCTGGGATAACAATACCGTGTGTTAGCACAGCGGAGAGTAAAATCCCAGTACCAGTGCTTTTTTTCGGAGTCCAAGGGAGACACCTGTGGCCATTCGCAGGACTGAGGCCACTTTGACTGTAGCAATAATGTGTGTCAGCATTGTGGGCAGCGAGCTCTCATTTCCAGTGATCTGTTACAAAGCGGGACGTCTGTGGGCATTGACACGAGGCCACTCTGAGAATCACAATAATGTGTGAGCACTTTGGGCAGGGAGTTCTGCTAGTGATCTGTTTTGAAGCATAAACAGGACCCCTGTAGCCATTCACACAGTTGAGGCAACTCTGAGAATAGCAGCAGGGCTTAAAGGCTGGGGGGTCTCGGGGGGTTTCGGACCCCCACTGATTTTAAGGGATGGGACCCTCCTCCACAGCCCCAGTATTAGTGAAATCAAAATCATATCTTGCAATAAAATAGCTTGTTTTCAGGAATGTGACATTTGGGGATTAGCAATTTCGGGGTTGCAGGTACAGCATGGGCAGAGTCAGCTGTGGGGTTTATTTTATGTCCATCTAGTACATTTCATCAGAACCCCTCCCCCCCCCCTCCCGCCCTCCTCCCTTCTTTTAGGGACCCCCCTCAACTTAAGGGAGACTTCAAGCGCTGAATAGCAGTAAGGTGTGGGTAGGGGTTTGAACGAAAAGGTACAAAACCTTTAAACTGGAGTAAGATTGAGTAAATTTTAGAGCACGAACAAGGGTACGAGGGCTCGGCAGAACAGATAGACTTTATTGGCAGGTGGCATATGTGACGTCAAATCTGACGATTATCAAGGCCACCGAAAAGAGGAGGAAGCGAGGAAGGAAGTCGTGATGTTTGGTTGGTTCTGTTCGAACAGGCATCGGACTGCCAGACGCTTGAGCTTCCACAATTTTTGACGGAGTCGTGTCGCCTCATGATTTCTGAAGTGTGCTGTTTGGACAGGCCTTGAGACCATTCTGAGAATCACAATAATGTGTGTCACCACTGTGGGCAAAAAGCTCTCACTGCCAGTGATCCGTTTCGAGGCATAAACAGAATGTCTGTGGCTGAGAATCACAATAACATGTGTCAACACTGTTGGCAGCAAGCTCTCACTGCCAGTAATCTGTCTCAAGCATAAACGGAGTCTGTGGCTGAGAATCACAATAACATGTGTCAACACTGTTGGCAGCAAGCTCTCGCTGCCAGTAATCTGTCTCAAGCATAAACGGAATGTCTGTGGCTGGGAATCATAATAACGTCTCAACACTGTTGACAGCGAACTCTCGCTGCCAGTGATTTGTTTTGAATCATAAATGGGATGCCTCTGGCCATTCACAAGACTGCAGCCACCCTGGGAGTGACAATAACTTGTGCTAGCACAGTGGAAAGCAGAACCCCAGTGCTAGTGCTCTGTACGGTTGGGTCGGGTGGGTTCACAATTTTGTAATGAACTGTCGCAGATTGTCGCCACAAAGCATCGTGAACTGGGTGGGTTGGATAGTTTAACATGTGCCCCAGTGATAAACGCACTGCGAAATGTTCCTACAGCGTGCAATTTGCGTGTCGATGAAACTTTACTGCACAGTGTGGTAAAGTCAATAAAACGACCAGTGTCAATGAAACAAGTGTCAATAAAAAGTTGATGAAATGTGTCGGATGAAACGACAGAAACCCTTTTTTCCAATGGTTCCATGGAGGCTCTGACAACGAGGACTGCGAAGTTGCCCCCAAGAAGAAGTTCGATATGTTTTCCACACGAGTCTGACTTTGCCAAGGTAGACGCGAAAGATGATGGCAGACTCTGAAGAGCTTGTTCGTGGTTACGGCCTGGTATAATGCAGAGATCAACATGTCAGAAACATAATTAGGCAGTTCGAGCCCATTGCTTTGTGGTGCAAGCAGAGGAATTTTTTTTTTTTTTTTTTTGGTTTAATTTCTTTTTCTTTTAAGTCTCCTCTATTGTGTCGTTGTCGTTGCTTGATTTAAACATTGTCAATTTTATTGTAATGAAGACAAACCATTATGCTGCTTGCATTCAAACCAAGATCAGGACATCTGGGTATTCAGTATGTTTTTAAATTTTTTATTTAAATAAATATTTTGCATATAAGAAAGCCGCAATTCATGAATTGAAAGGAAGCTGCCCTTGCAATCAATTTTTATTGACATACTTTTCAGGTGTTACAAATTATTAAACCAATGCTGCAATCGAATAATGTGGACAAAATTTTCCTTCTACAGTAAGTTGAAAAGGTTGGTGCGTGTTTGCCGGTAATACCTTGGCCATGACACGAGTGGGGGTACACGCGTCACTTACTCGGGTTTGAAGCATAAACAAGCAACTGACAGGGCCTCTGAGAGCTAGCAGAATGTTCGGAAGCATTTGAGAGAACCAAATCTGCTTCCCTAAACTTCTCTGAAATTTTTCCAAAAGAAGATATCGGCTTCTTAACCTCCAAAACAAAATCAATTAAATATTTGTAACATACGCATCACTGGCTTTATCATTTGTATGCCACATGTATGTAATAGCTCATTATTGCAAACGAGGGTGCATACAAGGATACTATCGCAGTCATAGATTACCGTGCAGCTGACTGCGACACGGAAACTTGACAAGGGCGATACGTTTCACAGATGAGTGCATACTGATTTGAAGGCGTAATTTCATTAAACAGACTATTTGTTAACGCCAGCAAAGATACGGTCCAAATTGTTTGCGGTTGACTTATGCCCATCCCGCACAGCCCACTACACTTTTAAAGAAGAGTTTGGTGACCGCTGTATTTTAACATCGCTCCACGGAAACCACTGCGAAGAAAAGCAGGTGTCGTCGCAATGTTGAGGCGCAACCTGAGGTGGACGAAGCAGACGGCGTCTGACATATGTACAGGGTGTCACAAAACAAAATTTACAGGGTTTTTTTCACCGCAAAAATAAAGTAGGCATCGCCGAACGCCCATTCTCCGCCGAAAAATAGGGCTAGAGGTCACAACCAGATGCCAAAGTTTCAGCCCGATCCGATAACTTAATCAAAAGTTATAACCGATTTTCTGAAAATTTCAATTGGAAAATGAAACCCGTTTTCGCCGGTTTGCGGTTTCTGGTGCCATAGAGCCCCATATATTCGAAAACTCCGTCGGCCGCCATTTTCCCATCGAAATTTTCAGAAAATCACTTATAACTTCTGATTAAGTTATCGGATTGGGCTGAAACTTTGGCATCTAGTTGTGACCTCTAGCGCTACCTTTGGGTGGAGAATGAGCGCTCGGCGATGCCTAGTTTATTTTTGCGGTAAAAAAGACCCTGTAAATTTTGTTTTGTGACACCCTATACAATGCTAGGCCTTATTCCCGCATCAAACTTTACAATGGCAATGCTCTAGCTGAATTCGCACGCTGTCGCACAGAACCTACTGCGAATAAAAGTGGACGCGTTTATGACTTAGCGACGTACGCTCGGGTAAGTGAAAAACCACGTTAAAGAGCAGAATAATTGCTGCAAGGTGCTGGAGTCATAAAAAATCTGCCCGGCAGCCATGTTGAAAATATTTTTTTGCAAGAACAAGATTGGTTCGAGCAGGTCGTGATATCATGGTAACAACGGGACAAGATTGGTGGCAAAGGAATACAAGATTCTCTTTGAGGGGCATTTGCCGCTACCTCCTTGACTTGTAACCAACTATAGTGTTTTGGTCATGGTTACCGTTCCACATGAAAAAAAACAAGCTAATAGACAACAGAAGTCAGTTATGTTTTAAAACTTCATTTTGTTAGTAACACTGCTTATTGAAAAACATTTAGGCATGGTTTGTGGCACATAAACAAGATAAAGATACATATAGAGTCCAGCTGTAATTGCCATCACACTTGGCACGTCTCTTCATAGTGTGCAAAAAGTTTGAGTCAGTAAGATAGGTTTGTGCGAAGTCACACAAGTTCTTTTGGGGGTCCACTGGTCTTCCTGGAAGTACTTAAGGATAATAGAAGCTGTCCCACTTTGGCACAAGCTCTCCCTCGTTGTAGAGGTCCAACCGTTGGAAGCAGGCCTCTTCACCAGGCTGCTTGAGGTAGAAGTTGTCGGTGTTCTGCACTCTATAGCTGCACCTGTGTCTGCGGAATCTCTCCACTCGCAGCTCATTGAGCAGAAGGAACACTTCACGATTCACCATGTACACTGTGCTAACTTTAGCAAAGCTCAGTGACGTTGTCTTGTTCATGAGAAGGACATCGTTAGTTCGGTAAACTCCCGTGCTTGTCTCGATGGACTTGGCTTCCCAGACCTGCAGGCCATCAAATGCCAGGCTCTCTGCGCACTGGTTGAGTTCTGCGGGGGCTACCACCTTGAGACCTGTGGCATAAACAGGTTTGTCAAGGACAAAGGTATGGAGCTCGTAACTCTGCAGGAGTTGGTGTCGTGTAGACAAGGTCTTGGTGATGTTCAAGAAATTTTTGGTTTTCAATGCCAGACCTTTGAAGTACTGGTGCTTTGCCTCAAAGCGCATGCACCAGTACTGTTGCAGGGGCCCATACTCTCGGATGATGCGGGGATAGTGGACAAGATAGTGCAGCTTGGGGGGCACACTGGCTGATGGGTATGTCTCAATGAAGTCCTTTAGAAAACCTTGAATTCTGTCTTCTAGGTATGGCAGGAAGTCAGTGGGAACCTCAGGAGCAAGAATCATGTCTGTGATCTCCCGGTACTTTAGGTAGAGCTCCCAATGCGCATTGCCTTCTGGGATGCTAGAGGCCATCATCAGTGGGAGCAGCCTAAACAAGCACCACTTTTGCGAAGCTGTGCCTCTCAAGGCACGGTGGTCCTTGGTGAAGTTGACACTTAGAGGCTCAGGTTTGTTCTTTCGGTCGTTGAAGCCAAATTTGAACTTGGCTACCTTCTCCAAGTCTGACAATGCAAGGGTGCCCTCTTGGATGAGCCCTTGAAGAACATAATGGAGAACAACTGCAAATCCTCCTTCAAACATGTCGTGCATTATGTCTGGCATGAGTTGTTTTGTCACGTCGAAGTCTTCCAAGGACAGCATTGGAGAGGGCCCGGTTACTCCGTATTGCTTTTTCAACGATGGGTTGATAGCAATTGCCGATAAGTGTATGCTGTGTCGATTTGCACTCCTTATCACACAGAGTTCTTCTCTCGTGAGCTCTGCCAGCCTGGCTTTAGTTGCCATGCAGAAGCGACACACCCTGCCACTGCTGAAGCAGCAGGAAAAGCCTCCAAGCTTGTTCAGCGAAAGATTGTCGCCGCACACTGCGGCAACCGTGGCCTTCACTTTCATGGTGCCTTCACCACGCCGAACTTGAAGACCATTGCTCTTGAGCTCGGCCAGGTCTTGCAGCAGAGGTTGTAACACGTTCTCCAGTCCATCAGCCTCTGTATCCTTGTACTTGGCCATCAGTGTCAGATGTATGTGCTTCAGAGTCGCACGGTACCTTGGGTGCAGGTCAAGGAAGGAGAAATACACAACAAGCAACTTGTGCTGCTTTTGGTTGGCCCCCAAGGGGTTGGTAATCCCCAATTCATCTGTGTACAACAAGAGGTTCAGATTGTGCGTGGGTTGACTGGAGCTGGCACTCGCTGCCACTTGTCTGGATGCCGTGCCGTCACGAAAACATCTTAGGACTTCCGGTGCGGTCCCCACCTGTTCTCTTGGTTGCAGGAGTTCCCTTGCCAACTCTGGAACTTCGAAAACTTTCTGGATAACTTTCCCAATGGGGATGTGCTGGAATGGAGAACTCTGTGGGCTTGGCAACAGATGCTCTTCAGGCTTCACATACAAGAAGTTTGTTCTTGCATATTTTTCTCCCTGGTACCTACTGCGTACTTTGTCAAAAAGACAGCGTGGGAAGTCCTCCCCAAATGGACAATGGCTGTCTGTGGAGCCGTCGGCGAAAGAGGTGGCTTGTTGCACCTGTTGTGCGTGTTTGTTCAGGATGACCTCGAGTAGGCACTGAAAATCCCCGAAGATTTTGTCGCAGGTACTGTGTGGTACCTTATGCTTTTCCGCGAGTTGGAAAAAGAAGCTGCAAATGCTGTCTTGTAGGCTCTGAACAAAATCATAAAATGTTTCGGCAGGCGTTTCCCCTTGTGAAACGGGAGTAGTCCAGGCTTCATCATCGTAGTTTGAAAATTCCTGTCCTCCATCAGGCAGGTTTCCGTGGGGTCCCGCGCTTCCGATGGCATCGGGATCAGGGACGCCACAACTGGGTCCCGCGCTTCCGACGGCATCGAGATCAGAGACGCCACTATCGGGTCCCGCACTTCCGACGGCATTGGGATCAGAGATGCCACTACGGGGCGGCTCTATGTGCTCACGGTGATTTCGGTAAAGGTGACGGCGATAAGAGTTCACGACCTTGAACGTATGGCAGCAGCCATCTACGCCACAGAGTATTGTGATGTTAGGCTCGGAGCCATGCATTTCTGCGACATGATTGACGACTCTTATCAATTTCGGTGCAAAAAACGTGCACAACGGGCATGGCCAAAACGTCATCTTAACCAGGAGGGCATTGGAACCTTTGCAATAAAACAAGAGCACGGAAACGGAAGCCAAGCCCCCCCCTCGCCCCCCCCCCCCTCAAAAAAAAAAAAAAAAAAAAAAAAAAAAAACGGACAGGACGTTGACAGTGGGGTGGAAGCTGCATGCTCGTTAAACCAGTGCCGGCCTTGCAGCACGTGATAACCTCCCCCCCCCCCCCCCCCCCCCCCCCCCCGCCCCCATAATCACTCGCGATGAGCGAGGTCAGGCGTTAGAGGCAGGCCATTGATTGGTCCGGCGAGCACCCAGCTTCCATCGCACTACAGCCACTGTAACCGCACTGTGAGCTTAGGGGCGAACAATTACAGTGTTGCTCGGGTTTGATGGTTGTTATCGCCTTATCGCCTAATTATCCTTAAAGTGATCCTCAACAATATGCCGAATCTGAAAAAAAAAAAAGGAAAGAAATTTAATACCTTCAAATTATTCCAGTGTGAGCGGTGGGTGAACGGAAATATTTGCCTAAATTAGCGAACTTTTTTCAGCCGCCGGAGCTCCTTGCTCCCGCTAGGGCTCCCCTCCCCATTTTCCCTATCACGCCTGTCTCTTTGTCAGCAGGCTCGTCGGCTCGTTACGTTAGCACGTTAGGGTTGTCTTGTGGTGTCGTGTCGTCAGCGCCGTTGCAGCGACACGTTGATTCGTATCGACCCCCCTTCGTTCTTACCCAAACAACTGTGTCTGGTAAGCTTGCTTCTTATATTTTGCGGATCGGTCGATCGGTGTCGGCCCTTGGCAATGTGGGTACCACTTTCGGGACGGCCGCACGTATCAAGTTCATTGTGCTGTCCATGTACTCGTTTTTGGTCGCCACAGAGCTTTCGAAAGAATTTATTTGCGCTCATAGAAAGGGATCCCACGAAAAAGGCAATAAAGCAGTCGATCCACTCGCAAAATCCTGAACAAGTTTGCGGCAAGCGATAGGCTTGCCGCTTTCTTGCTGGCTGCACAATCGGTTGCATGCTCATTACCGAAGCCACTCTTCGCCGCACGGCCAAATCAAAAGCTTTGCATTTCATTGCGCCGGGAAGGACCGCAAACGACACATAGCGAGTTCGTTTCGCTGGCTGTCCTGCCCACGCGTGCTTATTTGCGGCGTAAAGCGAGCTCGTTTCCGCTGTCACCCCACGAGTGGTTGCACTCTCCGAGTTCGTTTCAGCGGCGGCACCCCACGCGTGCATGCGCTCGCTGCACCGAGAAAATCGGGAGTGCGCCCAAATGCAATCCCATCATGCCTAGCTCCGGCGAGGAGCGGGAGCAGACGACGAGGGTTCGTCTGCTACGATGTGTCGCGGAACCTAAACGAAAAAAAGTAGATTTTTTTTTTTTTTATAGAAATCTCGTCCCGCGG